CCTGTCAGTTCACCTGGTGGCTGCACACAGGTTTAACGTCAGACCACATCTGGTCAAGTGAGACTCTGCAAAGGAAAGCAACATCAGCAGAGAGGCAATTTCACTCCTCCTGTTTTCCTTTTCATTGACATTTGAGTACACCACTCTGAAACCTTGCTCCTGACACATAAAGGACATCAGTAGCATGTAGTCAATAGCATCAAAAGCTGAAAAGGGGTCCCAAAGGATGAGAATGGTTACCCTCCACTGAATGAAAGTAGGAGAAGCTCAGCCAGTGCTACTAAAGCTTCTTTTGTCCTCTTGGCCACCTTTGTGTCTGGATTGGGCTTGGTTTGATGAGTTTATAATTGACCTACAATGGCTTGTAGCATTCATTCAGTAATGCTAGGACTACTGCTTGCCTACAGGAAAAGAGGAAAATTTTAAGTGAGGCATTGCTTTAAGCAGGAGTGACACCAATTTCTCATGTTTCTTGCACTACTCAAGAGGAGCACAAGTAGCACAGCTTGACTCGAGCATCCTCAATGAGCTGAACACAGGGAATGCAGGCATCCTGTTTGTTCAATTGCATAGGAGGGCAGGGGACTCATGCTGGTCTTGACAAGCTGTCTTTAGTTCATGGGATTGTTCATCCATGCAGGGTTTTGTTGTTAGCAGTGGTAACCTGGGTTAGCTAAAGGTTCACACCTCTGCATAGCTCCTGAAGGCATGGTTTGGCTCTACTGACCTGGATAAAGCCGCCAACACCGCTCTCTGCCTGTCAGCGAAAAACACTGACATTCCCAGATGATTTCACCACCATGGCCCACAAAACACTTGCAAGTTCCTCCACAGTCCTCTTAGTCTCTGATAATCTCCTGATACAAGAAGCCTAGCAGTCTATTGTTTGAGGCACTTTTGCAAAGCAAAGGGCTGTATTAATGAGAACACTACATCAATTCCAGCAAGGTTATTCTTTGAGGTTCTTTTTCTTTATACTGAAGAAATGAAACACTCTGTCTTCACATCAGCCTGCCGAAGGAAGCTTTTATGCAAAATTTAGGCCACTGAATTCAGGCCATCCTCACAATCTTATTTTACAACCCAGCAGCAAGGGAGACAGGAAAACCTTTTTGGAGGTTAACGCATAACTGTCCTTGTGACTAAGATTACTAAGAATATTCACAGCTACTTCTGCAGTGAATCTATGTACAGATCTTTACTACGGATAAGAAAACAAATACATCCATTTACCTTGGCAAAAGAGCCACAAAGTGGTTGCAATTCTGTAAGAGCAGACATCCAACCTGTTACAGTATTCTAACAACTCACGACCTATGCTGTTTCTGCTTCTGTAATACAAACTGGGCACAGTGAAGGCTTTGGATGGGAAGGACTTGGGGTTGGAATTCTTTTCTAACAGAATATTCATTAGAAGGTATCCAAGCAGTCATGCAATTTCCCCGTTTGTCATCAAATGTGTAAGGAAAACTACCTCATCCGCAACTCTTATTTGCGTTCAAAATCAGTCAGAGCAAGTGGTACACGCTACTTACCACAGCACAGATTATTTGATTTTCTCTGAATGAACACCATAAACATGATTTTACTGGTGTGACGGCACATTACTACAGAATTGCACCTACTAGATTAAGAAGCAGTGAAAAATCTTACTTGCTTTTTTAACCTAAATGGGTAGCGTGTAAATTAATGCAGCCTGTAAGTAAAATTATTAACATTTCTTACATGGCAAACATTACAGATTTTTTCTTTTAATCACTTCAGTAAACAATCTTAGGGGAGTTTTTCTGAGAGCCTAATCTGTATTTAATTAGTAATTTGAAAATCACATGGATGAGCTTTGTGAAAAATCTCTTTGAAATGCAGCTGTGTTGTTTACCTTAATACTCAAAACTGCAGTCAAGTGAAGCATCTGGTCTATTCTGGCCTCATTCTGTAAATGACTGAATGCATAGATCCAAGGTTCTGGATCCAGTCCACTGTAAGTTTGAGCCCTTCATGAATTCCTTCTTTACCATTTTTATAGATTTGCTGAAAAAAAACTTTATTGCAAGAGGGATTTAAAAATCTTTCACAGTTGTTAAGATATGAGAGCTTTACTAGCATACAACAACATTAAAGAGAAAATGCTGGACAAAGTTTAGATATTACAGTGATGAAATCCCTTCCCCCTCATTGTTAAATGATGGAAGAGAGGTTAAAAAAAAATAAATAAAAGAGAAAGCCCAGCCTTGACAGCAACCGCTCCTTTAATTTAAACACTGAAATGAATGACTAAATTAGATTTTGAGTTTTCAGAGGTAAGACGGCTTGAGAAGCATGGCAAAAACACAATGTATAGGATGAATTTAAAATAAAAACGATGGACCTTCCAAATAAGCCCACTTCAAAATAATGTAAGAAAGGTGAAAAGCAACACTTCTGAATATATATTTCTGATTAAAAAAGACAACTAATCATTAATATAAGCCTGGAAATGCAGCCTGCTAAAATGGCTGAGTCTCACTGGGGCTGCATTTAAATTCTGGTAAGTACTAAGAAATGCCTAAATAATGTACAGAGTTCAAGGGTGCATAATACATCTTGTTATAAAGAGCACCTGCCGGGACCATACTGGCCTATAGATAAACATTTTCTACAATTAAAATACCTAAATGTAGAAGCCACCTGTTTCCTGCCTTTGACTTCACCGAGTGCCAGAGTTTTACTGTAAATACAGGTGGGCAAAATAAGATGCTGCCTGATGCTAGGGTACTCCAGGAATTTGCACAACAGCTGAAGTCCTGGCCAGCCACTTTCTGATTCCCAGCCCCTCAGTTAAAACTGATGAGAGAAGCAGTATCATCTCTTCCCCTCCTTCCCAGTGGCAAGACACTTACATGGGAATTCCCACACCAGGCTGAGACTGCAGCTATCCATCCAGCAGCTTGGATTTGACAGTAACGAGTACCAGATGTTTCAGTGAAGGCATAATAAAATCCGGAGAGAGTAATTGTAGAGAAAACTACTCAGTTTTTCCCCATTTCCTGCTGGTCCCTGGGCAATGCACATATCCTAGGACATACTGCATCCCAAGAAACAGGTCTAACCATTCAGAAATTTGCCAAAAAGCTGTCCAGATTGCAACCCTGAATTCACTGCTGACTGGTAAAAGACAGACACTGTGGGTTGTCCTTGTTGTAGGACCCTTAAGAAAGGCTGGGTTCCCATTTTTATTTTAGTCTAACTGTGAAATGTAAAGAAGGTAAAACACTTCCAGAAGTTCAAAAAAAGTTTTATTCTCTTGTAAGGAGAAATATTAAGGAAGTACTGTCAGGTGAGCAGGAGTCTTGCAGGCTGGAAACAGAAACTGGAAAATACATTTGCAGGCCCAATCCTTCCCTGATGACACTGGCATACCAATTAATACCAGCTGGGAATCAGGTCCTGCACATCAAGAAGGTCAGTCACCCAGCTGCTAGCCCAAGATACCAACTGAACAGCCAGTCTGGTAGCCCAGAAAGCTCTGTTTCTGAATATTCCAAACAGCACATCACTCCCTGGAAGTGAATTCTCTGCCCCAGGAAACCCTTGCTGACAAAATATCCAAAACTCTGCCCCTTGCAAGAGATTTTTGCACAAGGCAAGGCTTAGGGTAAAATGGAAACAACATGCACTTGGTGCTTATCCAGACAAATGTGCTGGGGCAATCCTGCATTCCTCTGCCCTGTGAGCTGGGCAGATGTGAGGCAGCTCCAACACAGCAGCTGTGCATCTGCATCCCTGCCGTGCTGCTCCTGCTACCACACTAAGCAGCACCTGGGCTGCCTGCACTTGCTCACATAGGGACATCCTTAGTTTTGCCAGCTGAGATGCCTGGAGCACAGCTTTGGCTGCGCTGGACTAAGGCAGGTGCATCTGCGGCAAAGTGGCATGCAAACCAGGCAAGCAGATTTCAATTTTTTTCCTCCTGTTTTCAAACTTCACTGGAGGACCTGACAATGAATGAAAGTTACAGTTTTGCAGGCATGCACAAAGTATTTATTCAGTTCAACAAAAGTGTACAAATATTTCTGAAAGACAAAAAGGCACTAAATAAGTCCTGGTTTCTTACCGCCTAATGCACAGGTGAACCCCTGAACCTGAAAGCAGAAAGCTACTTGGCTCCTACCTGGGAAAGCAGCAGAGTTTCAGAAGAGTTCTTTCAACTAAAAGCTTATGATTTATCCCCTTTCTTTTCTTTTGATCACTGAGATGGTTTCATGTGGTAAATTTTAATGCGTAAGGGCACTTACTGAAATAAGGTACAGTTATAATACAACAGCAAACTGATTCACAATATTTCTGTACAGAAACTACCAGTAGTACCAAAATGATTACAAGCTATGGGACATGAAAAAACACAACTATGCAATTATGTTGAGACCATAAAAAATATCCCCTTCTGAGCAGTTCCCTAGCCAGAGGATAAGGAAAACAACCCTATAGCCAAGGGTAAATAGCACATTTCAGGAAAGACTATAGCCATCATTCTTACATTGTTGTTTTCTCATGTTGTATCACAACTGTCAAAAGGTTACTGATCCATACTCTGTAATCTCAAATAGCAGGCCCATCTCTCTTAGCTTGCCCTATTAAAAAGAGGACTCAAGAGAAAATCAACACTAGCTTTTACAGCTCTTGGTGGCATCTTCACAGTTCCAAAATGTTACATCTCCCTTGCTCCCCATTGCTTCTTGCAAAGCATTTGAAATCATAGAATCATATCATAGAATCAAAGAACGGGTTGGGTTAGAAGGGATCTTAAAGATCATCTAGTTCCAACCCTCCTGCTATGTCATAAATTAAAGATTATAAAGCAAAGGCTTAAAAATAACTTATTTGCTATATTTACCAGGGGGAAATCTTGCATTGAATATTAAATACTATCCTTAAAGCCATCTGATCACACAAAGAACAACTACAGATATTTAGAAAAGCAAACACATTCCAAAGTGCTACTGACATCAGAAAACGAGTCATCAGAGGTAAACAATCCCCTCCTCCACTCTGCCCTTGCTTTCTGCATCCTGCAGACTCTCCGGCTGGTGGCTCAGCAGCAATACATCTCCCAGCAGTGGCTGGATGGATCCCTGGTTTGGAGTGCTTGTCTGGGGACTCTGGGTCTGTGATGCATTCAGATCTGTAATGCACAAGAGAAGGACATGTGACAATGCATCTTCTGCCATACTTGTGCCATCATGAAGGGCCAATTCTGACTTTTTCATTAGCATCATTTTCTAGTTTGCTGCCTCTGTCTAGAAAGGAAAACACTGCTGTATTAGATATTACACTACAGCCTGGCAAGAAGTACCTCACCCAAATTTACTGAAATCTGTTCAGGTCTGTCCACTGTCATCCAAGGGATGATCACTGTCACTATTTTTACAGTAGAAGACATTTATACACATACTTCACTAACAAGACACACAATAATAGAAATGGATAAACGCTGTCAGAGTTGGGCTGGAGGGAAACATATACTACATAATTAGTACCTTTTTTAGTAATAATACAATTGTAAAATTAATACAGTTTCCATCATTATATAGAATTTGCAAGCTTTCCTTTTACAGATTAAATCCAGTTAAAAGTCTACTTCACTGGCATTGCAGTCTATAACAGATATATAATCATTTAGCTTTTTCTGCAAAGTTTATCTGTGTTTATTTGCACAAACTACCAACTTTGTTCTTGTCTCAATCCTATAGGTGTGATATGGAGATAACACTTGCACCCAAACACTAAGAAATTCTTTCACAAGGATCTTCATTTGTTATCTTTCCAATTTTCTCCTGCAAATGCAGAGAATCAGATACTTGTTTTCCAGCATTGAGCTCTGAAGGCTTTTGTGATGATCGGTGCACTGCTTAATAAAAAATAACCATAGTTGAGTTTTCTCCCTAGTCCGCTTTCTGTACCACTTCAGACCTTCAGGGACTACACCTCAGTAGTCGGCTCTTCTACAGCTTTACTTCTGCGAAGCCATTTTTACCATAAAAACAAGCCGCATAAAACAGGGCGTGTAGGCATCCTCATACCTAGGGATGAGAGAAGCCTACAACAGACAGGCTACAATACTTTTCACTCTAATCTTGGCTCGACTGACCTCCGTTATTACATGAGGAGAGTTGACTTTTCATTCTTCCCACTGCAACAAGAAGAGGAACTTGGCACCCCTCCCACAGCACAAGTAATGCCAGTAGAAAGCAAACCCAGCACTGATGACCCTTGAGCCCTGGTCACTCAAGCAGAGAGCTAAAAAGACATTTCATGCCTGCTCTGGTTCCCACCCTTTCTCACACATATGTGCAATGAAAATCTATTATAAATGAGATACTCCTTTTTTTACACACCATGTCGCTCTAACTGGTGGCAATTTAAAACAGCACCTGCCCACATTTGGCATTCTCCCGACGCATATGGTTTTCACTAGTCTTGTTCTCTGAGGCAGGAGTTTAAGGCAAAACAAGCTTGCTGGCACCCTGCAAAGCCTAGGCTCCCCAGCTGCTCCCTGCCATGGGGCGTGTGGAGCGATGAGAGATGATAATGCAATGAGCATGTGGGAACACATCATATCACTGCCTCTGCCTTCACTGTCTTCTCCTCTTTAATATTCACACAGCTCGGGGGAGCAAACAGGCTTTGGGGCTTCAGTTCCCAGAGTAAGCCACATATATGTTATAGCTGCTGCTGAGACTGCAGGGTCAGTGGCAGGGACAAGGTATTTATATACAAGTGGTGCTTGGTCATTAGTGGGACGACATAGGATGTTAAGAAAATTAATGTAAAATTCCCTCTTACTGTATAACACTAAACTTAAAGGACCAAGTTTTGGTTCTGGTGAAAATCCAGAGTAAGTCTTGATTGTGATATGTAACAGAGCAGGATTTGGCTCTCTGACTTACTCAGCCTTGTTTTGTTAAAGATTCTTTTGCATTTATTTATTTGTGATAGCCATATTAGAAAAATATTACAATTTGCAGCAACAGAAGAAACCAGAAACATCCCATGTTTGCTTTTCTTTATGAAAATTGGATACTTCAGTTTTATTTGTTTATTAAAAACAGTTCTATCAGCAAGAGGTCCTCAACCTCTAAACACTTGTATTTCAGGGTAATTTTACCCATATTAATATTCCTTTTAAGTCCTATGAGTCTATTCACCTTAATAAAGTTATGTGCAAAAGAATACCAGGCAGTAAGCACTTACTTGAAAGATCTGTTTCCAAAGTTTATGAAGTACATAATTGGAGAAGCCTAATTACAAATCTGAAAAAACTCAGAAAAGAAACACCTTACATGCAGTTATTTTCCACCATCAAAACTAAACAGTAATTGCTTCACCAATTAAAACAATAGCCGTTTCCAAACCATTTTTTGTTAACTGTTGCAACTCTAAGCAGCAGAGCTGAGCAGTGGAAACTCCTAGCATTCTGGAAAAACAAATCAGATTCAGTATCGAAAGCAATGATTTATCGTAAGTTTAGCTGACTTGAAAAAAACAATAAATAAAATTCTGTTGCATCTGGAGAACCCAAACAGCAGGAGAGCACCCAGGACGTGAAAGCCCAGCTGCTGCTGGGGTGACAAGTGGCTCCTCGGGCTGGAAAGGTTGTATGTAGTCTGACGAGAGAAGGAGCTGCTTTTGGCAGCACTCCGGGTGGCACTCAACACAGGCTCTGCCTAATAAAAGCACAATCTGTCCCGGGGCCGACATGCTCAGCCTGCCAGCAGGGTGAGTGCCTGCTGTCTCCCTGCCCAGTGCCACGCTGGAAGCAGCCAAGCCAGGAGTCCAGCTGGTATCACAGGCGGCAGTGCGATGTACCCCGAGAGCAGCTGTCTGGGCAGGCTGGAAGAACTGCCAGAATTTATAGTAACAGCCTCAGGTAAAGGGAGAGCGGGGAAAGCGACCGATCTGCCAGCCAGCACCAGGTCTTGTCATGCAGAGCAGCACCAGCTGCCAAGGAGCCTCCTGTAAGCTCCCTGGTGCAGCACTAGGAAATGGGCTGCTCTTGGCTCCAAGCAGGTGAACGGTGGGAGAAATCCTGCTCTTTCAATGCTCTTCCAAAACAGGGAAGAACTCTCCAGAACCAGCCTTGAAAGCATCAGCTGCTGCATACTAAAGAACTCTGAGACCTAGGGGTGCCTAGAAAAAAAACAAACAAAACCCTAAACACAATTCCCCAACCCACACCCCCCCCAAAAAGAAAAAAAAAGAAATGCACATTAAAAACCACAAAGCAATTATTCGTGTAGACAGTAAAGCAGAGGAAGGCTGGAGAAGGTGGCTGCTACCAGAAAGCAGAAGCTGAGAAGCTGTCCTGTGCGCCCCTAGGCAGCCAGGGTAACCACAGGTACCCCAGGCCCTCTCTAGGCCCCTGCAGTTTGGCTGACAATCAGAACTCAGTGTGGATCAAGAGACAGCTAAATAAGGACCATCAGACTTTTATGAGCCTCCTTCGTTGTGATTGTAACTCACCTGTCAATGTCAGCCACAAAATGAGTTTTGTATTATTCCCTTTCTTCAAATTCAGCATTCACTTTATCCTTTCTTCTGCTCCGTTCCAACCTCCCAAGTGATGCTCGGGCAGGCTGTGTTCAGCTCAACAGCGTGCCCACCAGATCAGCACCCACACCTCCAGCACCCAGCAAAAACGCTCTCACTGCCCCTGCCTGCATTCCTCCTGCCTCGGCTGGGCTCTGCCCACCGCCTCAACCCTGCACCCCTTGCACAGAAAAGACAAGCAAAATTACTGTTCCTGGGCACAGCCTTCCTCTTGCAATATTTATTTATCCTACAACACTCCAGGTAACTCCTTCCTAAAGAGCCAGATCCTCAGCTGCATCATGTATACCCTAGACAAAACTGAACAGAAGAACAGAAAAATCCACTCTTTCAATGTTGAGCTGATCAAACTCCCCAGCAAAGGGGGATGTGCTTGAAGCTGGAGGCCAGGTATTAGGTGATCTATGACAGCACTTCAACACTTTAGTGCTGTGTAGCTTGTTCAACCCAGCAGTGCCACAACGCAGCACAAAATACCGCTTAAGTGCAGCTTTTCTCCTTTTTATCTAAGCTAAGACAATCCATTAGATAAAGAAAACCCAGGCATTCCCTGCTGTCTGCCCCACCAGTTTTTGCAAGAGATGTTAGAGGATCTTTTTATGAAACTCTGGAAAAAAGTCACAAATTGTCTCCTGCACACAGATACATACTGCCAAATCATAGAATCATCCAATATTAAAAACAAATCCTACTTTTTCCCCATGTTTTCCATGAGTTTAGCTCCAGTATCATGAGGTATCAGGAAACTGCAGAGAAACACACTACTCCCCCCCCCCCCCCTAGATAAAAATACTTTTCTAGGCAACCTAAATATAACAGTAAGGGCAGACTGCAGGCCTGCAGTGTGTGGCTTTCACGGGAGTTTCTAAGGGGACCTCAGTTCCCCAAATGGGGTCTGGGTCCAAACTCTGAGAAACGACAGTTCCTAGCTAAAAACCTGCTATTGTCATAGGGAAACAGGAAAAGAAGTGGCATTCCGCATCCTAACAAGCATACCCTACCCTTCCTGTAGCACTAAGAGACAGGATTAGTGGCATCGCATAAACTGCTTGAAAGGTGAAGGACAAAGCAATGGCATTTGCAGGAATCTGAGACAACTACATACCAAAACAAACAGCCCGTGCTCCTCGGAGGAGGGGGGAGGAGACAAAAGCCAAGTTAAACAACTCATTAGTCACGCTGATTCTCGCCTTCTGCCTGTTATCATAGGATGTAAGCACTTCCACATCAAATAAATGCCATGGATTTTATTCTTCACCCCTCCTCTCTCTCTCCCGAAGATCAGAGCTCTTCAGGTAAACGAAGGATAGGAAGACATTAACAAGGCACTAGGAAGCACTTCAGGCAAAAAAACCCTCTCCAGTCTCCGTGTTTTTAATAGAAAGCCCTCAGTTTTTCTCCTCCAGCTCTGACCCTAATTTCACAGCATGACAGGATAATTCAACTTGGAAGGGATCTCAGGAGGCTCCTCGTTCAAACTCCTGCTCAAAGGTGGGTCAGCTCTGCGGTCAGGTTGGACACTCTGGGTTTTTTCCTTCCCAGTTGTTTCCACCAAAAAAAAAATCGGGAGGGAGA